TAACCAAGTTAGACATCTAAACATTGTGTAAGTGATTTAGCCTTTACAAATACAATAGAGAAACAGAAAAAAACAAAAACTTTATATTAGTCATCATTGATTTCATTCAACAACCAAACTAGGGTAGGTATGAGCGTTAAGGACATACCACAGGAGAGTAGACACCGAGTAAGATGTACTCCCAGATGCGTCCACCAACAAAGGGAGCGAAGAAAGCATAGTACGCTACAGCCAACAAGCAGAACACTGTGATCGCAATCACCTTTTATTACATCAAAAGGAACAAACTTTAGATAAGCAAACGCCTCAAAATCAAAAACCCAGATGGGAGAAAGGTTGAATCGAATCAAAGAACCTGAAATTTATGAGCGGGAAGTTGCCAGCCGTGTTTCCTCACCATGTTTTCACCACACAAAGATCTCAAAAATCGAAACCCTAAGTCTCACACACGACGACGGCGGGGCTGCAAATCGTGAAGAGAGGAGAGATTTCAAGAGGAATAAATGAGGGAAATGGAGTGAGAAAATATCTTCTTCCTCTCTTTAAATCACTATTGGACGCTCTTCTGGCTATGGTAAGTCATAGTCAAGTGACGAAAGAGGAAAGTAGACTGAATATATTTAAAATTAAATGAAATTAGAATTGACCTAGGTCAAATTTATTTCAAGTTAGGAGCAAAAGCTATAAGGTGGGAGTGTGGGGAATAGGAAAAGGAGCTTACAGAGGAAGAATAAGAGGAGCAGCCATGGAGAGAGTCCAAAGAGAGAAGGAAGGAAAGAAAGTGCGAAGGAATTTTTGGAAGAGAGAAAAATGACAAAATAGAAAAACGTTGACAGACTAAAAGGCAGAGACAGACAAATGAAAGTGGTTACCCAAGCTTTTATTATTCTCGCTTACGTGTATTTTTCTTCTCTTTTCATATTTTCTTTTTTTCTTAAATGTCTAATGATTTTTTTTCTTTTACTATACCCTCATTTTTGGGGAAATCGAAAAATTGAAATCCAACCGTTGAGATTAATGTTTTATTAATCCAAGGGTTATTATCATTTTCAACAAAATGTTTATCAAATGAAATTTCATTTGTAACTATGACACCAAATTTAGTATCATAACATCAAATATTGCACCAAAAGTAATCTTATAAATTATTTGATCTTTCAGTTTAATTATTTACTATTAAATTTAACTTTACAATAGTGTAATATTGTTAATTATTGATTAAATATAACTTAAATAAAGATTATAATTACTATTTCAAAATAACTATATTGTTTTGAACTAATTAATAATAATATTAAATGGTATAATAAAATATGTATCCCAAATATCTGAGTAAATAGTATTACACCAAATTTATGTAATATTTCCTTTGTTTCATTATAAATATCATTTTATCTTTGTGCACACGGATAAAGGAAATAATTAATTTTGCATATTTTCTATATAGAAATAAAATTATCTATACATATAACTATATTTCAACCAATAAAAAATTATATAATAAAATTAATAAATATTGTATTGAAAACCGAAATGCTACTTATAACGAAAAAAAATTCTATTGTGACACTTAATATGAAACGGAGGGAATACTATTTATTCTACACCAAATTTGATGGAATAATATTATTTTTAGTGTTTTACTAGAGATGAGGTTACATAAATTTGATGTTTTGATGTCTTTTTCTATATTATTTTTTTTAATATTTGATTTTGACTAATTATTAAAGAGAAATAAAAGTTGAAATATACTTTTCTAGAGGAAAAAAAAATGCAGATATCTCTGGAATCTAAAAGGCTAAACTGAAAAAACAGGAGACGATATAAAACGATTCTGAAAAACAGAGGGATAACAACAAAAGAAAAACAAAAGAACCACTAGCTAGATATATTTTGAAAAGGGGGACCAAAGATGCTAAGAGTGGAGTATTGACTTGTGAATTAGCAGGACAGATACATACCAGAGTTCAACTGTACAACGATTTGCATTATTGTGTAGTCGAACCCTTGAACTGAGTCAAGAAGGTTGCGTCTCAGAAAAAAAACTACAACATCTTACTGTACGGTGTACACACTAGTTGTGACCCTGAAAAACTATGCTGATCTGAATTAGGCTATAAACATCAATGAGTCTAACAGCCAGCTTAATAATAGTGCACACCAAAAAAAAAAACATGTAATGGCCGGGCAGCAGGCATACAAGCAACCAAACAGAAATATGTTGTTAGGAAAAGAAAGATGATTTTTCGGTTGAAACTTCTCTGCAATCGAAAACCATACGTTTTTGATAAGTTTTACACATTCTCTTATGTTCAAAGATGTAAGAAAGTACTCAAAATGACCTTGTACAGGGATAACCAGAGGCTAGCCAAATGCTTGAACCTCAACAGAGCTTGCAAAACGAATGGTTTGTGCTTTTTCCGGATCTTTTCTTATTCATTAGATTAAAGTGCATCTTCTTATATGAGATAGAGTAAGATGCTTTGGAGATGACCTTATAGTCTGCTGCTGGTTTTTGTGATTGTTTGTGCAGAAAAAATGTAAGTTCCGAGCGAATTAGCAACAATATATAGCTACTTTAGTCCTCTACAGAAAGTTCAAGGATTGGTATCTATTCTATTAAAATAGAGTTATTTTTTTATCTACTAATAAAAGTTGTCATTTAAATTTGGATCTTTTTTACAATGTTACAAATAATATAAGTTATATAATTGATTGAACCGTATTAATTAAATTAAACCAACACAATTAATGTAAAAAAACGACATTAATGTAAACTACCTTCAAAATACGGCAGGTATCTATGTGTATACAGAAAACACATATTTTCTCCTACAAATATGGAATGTTCTAAAAGAATATATATAATCAAAATATTGAATATGAAAATCCACTAATTATACTTAAATTAAACCAGTGGTTATTTATGGAATATAGTCTTGGGCTTACTTTTGTTTTTTGAACAAATTATATAGTTTGGTTTTTGGGCTTTGTATTAAGAAAAAAAAACTCCAAAAACATTGAATAAACTTTTCACCTTAAAAGATCAAAAAAATCAATTATTATTTTCAGACCCAAAAGATATTTAATATTTTTAACAAAACAAAATTTATCTATTATTAATCATTTATTTAAATCATGTACTTTAAAACATGTTAATATATTTTTTTATTTTAAATAACAATCACTTTTTTGATAAATTTCAATGGTAACTTTTAAATAATTTATTGTTTTATTTTTCCTAAATAATTTACTGATTAAAAAAATGTAAAGCAAAACCAAAAACCAAATCTAAAAACTAAAATCCAAAACCAAAAACTGAAAACACATGTTATATTTTTTGCTTTGTTTATTTACAAAATAAACTATTTCAAATTTTTTAAAAAAAATTTGTTATCATCTTTTCAGTTTTAAATTAGATGTTCGATTATTTGAGATTTGTTTGTTGGTAATATTAGTTCAAACTAACTCAGCGGGTTTAAAAATTAAAAACCCAAACCAAAAACTGAAAATGAAAGTAGAAACTTAAAAACTAAAAACCAAAAACCAAAATCTAAAAATAAAAACTAAAACTAAAACCTAATGAAAAACAATCACCACAAATTTTGGTGAACTGATTTTATATCAAAATATTCTTTAAATTAAGACAAAACTCAATTATATAAATTTTTATTGATAAAAAATTTTCGCGCTTTTCAAGCGCGGGTCAAAATCTAGTGCTTGATTATTAATAAACATGGCTATGCGATTAATACTAAACCTGAATTGTGAATAAAATTAAATTTATTAGTTATAAAAAAAAATTATTAATGGAGCCGCCTCAAAAAGGCTACTATGTAAATCAATGACCAATTCAAGGCCCGGTGGGTTTACATATACACATAGATGGTTTAATCAGAGAAAACAAAACCAATGATCCATCATCTAAAAATGTGCTAAGTATAAGTTAATGTGAAATGATGAAGATCTGTCATGTTATGGTTCTTTGTGATTTCAGGGACAACTGAGTTCCATTCCACCAGTGCATTTTAGCTTCTTCACGAATCAACAAGCCAATGCTACGACTGAACATATTATCTGTTAAATTGATTTGGATTATTGTTCGTTTTGATTGGATTTTTATCTGAAAAAATCGAATTATATGTAAAGCTTTGGAGCAAAAAAATATTAAAATGTAGTATTTGTAAATATCAAATCAGCTCACAAATACTATTTGAAAATAAAAAACGAATATCTACTTTGATCCCTAAGTTTATAGATATGTAATATTCCATTCGTTTCAGTTTAGTCGTCATTTTGAGATTTTATAGACAGATTAAATAAACATTTAATTTTATATATTTTTTAGAAAAAATACAATTACATATATATTTAACCACATTTCAACCAATAGAAAAATAGAACAGTAAATAACATTAATAAATTTTGCATTAAAATTATTAAAAGTCACTTATTTTAACTCTACAATGACAATAAAATTAAAACGGAGGGAAATATAGTTTTTGAAGTTGTTTTGAGTTATGAGCTATTGCAACTATCCCGTCAATAAATATTACATTTTCGGAGAAAACAGTCATTTAAGCACTAAACTCACACATTTCACCAAAAACATATACTCTTCATTAGACCATAAGTTTAGCGAAATTGAGTATGAATTTGATCAACCAAAAATTATACTAGAAAATGTGTTTTGGAAAATGAAAGAAATGTGATAAAAGTGACGTAATGTAAATGACTCTTAAAGTTATTCTGTCGGAATTAACAGTACGGGAGAGAGTTAAGAAATGCAAATCGACAACATCAAAAGCAACGGTGACGATATCTTTCATCTAATCCACGTGTCTCAAAAACACACCAAAAGCAACGGCCACGATTCTTATAGATGAACTTCTTTTGACCAAGCCGTACCAAATAAAATATTAAAAAAACACTTTTACTCCTATTATAAAACATGCAGAGACACTCCATAAATACCATAACAAGAACTAATCTATAACCTCTCGCATAAAAAGAAGATGGCCAACCCCAACAACGAGTGGTCTCAATTCTACAACAACCAAACCTTCTTCCCCACCACAAGCACCACCACGACCACCACTGCCACGTCAGCTGATTCTCCCGTTAACCCTGAAAGCCGCCGTGTCTCGAAGCCAACACGGCGGAGGTCTAGAGCCTCACGTCGCACGCCCACTACACTTCTCAACACCGACACAACCAACTTCAGAGCCATGGTCCAACAGTTCACCGGAGGTCCATCAGCCATGGCTTTCGGTTCACCGTCATCTGGTTTTAGCCTCACCTCGTCGGGACCCACTGCCGGAGCTTCTTCCGTCGGCTATCATCAGTACGCTAATTTTCAGAACCAAGTTTCTCATCACGAAGTATTGCAAACGCAACGACCGTACATGGCCTCGTCGTCAAACCACGTGGGTACTCATCTTAGCTATCCTAACACGGTGGTTTCCGATGGTTTTATGGCGGATGATGAAAGTAGAGACGGTAGAAGAGGTGGAGGCTATGCTCCGTCGTCGGAGATGAATAGCGCTAGTACTACATCGTGGTTGCAATGAGGAACGGTGGATCAGTCTATATATTTTATTTCTGTAACTTGTTTTCTGAGGAAAATAAACATAAAAGGAATAAATGTTAGGTAATGACTTTATTTGTAGCAGAATGAAAACTTTGACTATCGTAATTTTTTTTTTTTAAATCACTATCGTACTTTTTGTTTAAGTTGTGTTTTTTTCTTCTTTAGGATTTCTCTTTGTGTTGTAAACTTGTAATACATAGATTAAATAAATATTTCATTCATTTTCCCATGTTCAAATAGAAATTAAATAATGTAAAAAAAAAGTCATTTACATTGTTTAAACACAAAGAGAAATAACTTGGGAGAAATAACCAGAATGTACCAATCATTGTTTTTTTGGGTCAAAATACCAATCATTGTTTAAACATAAAGAGAAATAACCTGGAGGTACCAATACAGTTTCAATATTTCAACATAGGATGTGAATGTCGGACATCGTGTGGTCAAGTGATACGGTGGCGTATTTGAAATATTTGATTCACTTATTACATGAAACTAAATTATATTATTCTTAAATATTTATCATATAACCACAAGATGATGGTTTAGTGGTAGGCGAGCTTTGGGATTTGCTAAGTAATCCGGGTTCGAAGGCACCCCACTACATCTTATCTTGTGGCCACGCGGATATGGGTCTATTTTACGGCCCATTTGAATACCCGGAGTGAGGGTCCATCCGTGGGCTGCACCACCTCTTTGGGGATTAGTCTGGGCCTCTCCATGGGCCTGGGATACCCCCAAGGTTAAACAAAAAAAAAAAAAAAAAAAAATATTTATCATATAGATTTCTGGTTACGATCCATTTATATATCTGAAAAAAAACTGTTGGCAAACTACAGTTTTTCTTAAAAATTAGTTTGGATCCTTAGGATATCTCAATTTCGGATCTCAAAAGTTAATACAAAATGAGAAGTAAATATATCATAAAAGTATTTTATTATAAGTGCTATTTTAGTTTTATGTACATGAATTAAGAAAATAATTAATTTTATATATTTTTATATTAAAACATAATTATTTATACATCTAATCATATTTTAATTATTAAAAAAATAAATTACATAGAAAATTAATAATTTTGTATTGAAAACCAAAAATGATATATCTTTTATAACTAAAATTTTTTTTTTTATTGTGACACTTAATATTAAACAGAGGTATTATATATGTAAGTCGACTATAACGTATCCTATTCTATTGACATTGAAGACTTGGTTCTTTGTTTGACTATGGGATCCATGGTTCGGTGGGGTGTGTAAAAATAACTTTTGAAAACTATATGAGAATTTCATATAGAACTTCTTTTCTCTTTTGGGAATTGTTTCGAGTATCATATGACTACATGGAAGTCTGTGAGCGTCTTTTTTTTCTTTCAATGTGGCTAGCTTTAAGAAAATTATCAGTTGCAAATGAAGAATTTTCTCTAAAGAACGAAGAGAAGAATTAAATATTTTACTTCGCCGTTGCTTTTCGTCGGGAACCAGAAGAAAGTAAAAGTAGGTGAAAGTAGGCTACCAACATGTGAAGACACTCACGTGATATTTTTTTCTTTTTCTTTCTCCCCCTTTTTTTGTGCAACTTTCTCCCTCTTTTAATCTCCCATATTTAAAAGTAATTTATGTTGGAACTGGAAGAATGAGTGACAAGAAAAAAGGTCGAATAACATAAACATAATTCGAAAATTAAATTGAAACTCGAATTATGTTATCGATTTTGGCTTAGTTTTTATATCCTGTTTCAAAATTAAACTCAATCTATCAGTGGAAAATTTTGATCCATTGTTAAACTTTTGACGTGTATGCACAGTTCTACATTTTTAATGTTTTTTTTACACTTATTTACACACATTTAATTTCAAATCAATTTAAAATTTGAATAGACTCGATAAAGTACTAAAAACTCGAAAGTATACTATATAAACTTAATATAACTTCAAATCAATCTAAGATCTGAATAGATTCGATAAAGGACTAAAAACTCGAAAGTATACTATATAGACTCGATAAGCGATTTACAACAAATGTTAGAAACAACAAAACACTTTTATCATTGTCATTTATATATTTTTTTGGGGAGTGGGTCGATAAGAAGGGGTGGTTAGTTAAAAATTTTATTATTTTCAGAAGATTATTATTTTTGTAAAATTCCTAAAATCTATGATACTCAGTAAATTCTAAGCAATTAGTTTATTAATATATTCAAATTCATATTTGTTAAGATTTGTTATATTTAATAAATGTATGATGATAATTTCTTAAACTATATCATAAAAATATTATTATATGATATAACTAAAGAATATTATACCAGAATAGAATTCTGAAACATGTAATATACTATATAATCTATTAATTTGATGTATTAATATAACATACTATGGTATAAATAATAATATGTTATAACAAAATTGAGTTTCAAAACTTATAATCTATCAACGTATCAAATAACTTCAAAATGTAATATCAGACATTGCTAAATAGTTAGGTCTGAAATAATGTTATAAGATAATAGAATAGATAGATATTTATCATTAATAAAATATCGATAGGTTCAAAAAATATCACACAGTGGAAAATAACGATGTCTAAAAACAAGACTTTAAATTAATAGAATAAATTAAAAATCAAGATAAATTGATTTAAATACCATAAATTGATACTATTTTCAAAAATAAATTTAATTAAAATATTATATATTTAAATTTATGATTAAAATATTGTTTATATTTAATATTTAAGGGTGAGATTGACTTTATAAACTTATATAAATAACTCTTAAAAATTTATACATGATTATATTGTTAGTTTAGTTTTATTTTTTTGATAAATTCCCTACCATAAAAATGGTTTTAACATAAATAAAGTTCACAAGGGACAAAATGACAAAAATGTTTCATTAAATAGGTAAATAAATAATTATACCTCTAAGATTAACTAATTTAACTTTAAATAGATTTTGAGTTTAGATTTAAAGGGTGGAGTTTATGTAGGTTTAGTATTTTAAAAATAATTGTTGAATTTTAAAAATAAAAAAATTAATCTAGTTTTAGAATTTTTGGATTTCAAAAAAAAAATTGAAAAAAACAAAAAAAAAAAGCAAAAAGTAAATAAAGTTCAAATTCAAAAACGCATTATTCAAAACTAATAAACTATTATTATTTATTAAATAATTATATATTTAAATATCTATTGAGTAAGGGTAGAAAAATCTTTTCTATATTTAATGAAATTTCTTTTGACTATTTTTCTCCTTGGGGTGAAAAACCTATTTTAGAATCATTTAAGAAAATTGTCATTTTTTTCATCACAAACATAAAATATTTATAAAAATAGTCATTTGATGTTAAAGAAATAATCATTTAAAATTAAATTTGAAAAGTATATCAAATCTGTAATAAAATTATAATTCTCCACAAATTAATCATTTGATTTTTTTGACTTGTGTGGTACATGTCAGTATTCGAACATGGCCAAGTAATGAGTTCCAGTTCTGTCTGAAAACGAGAGATCATTATTTATTTAGAAAATTGCGTGATTGGAGGGAGAGCCAATAAAAAAGCTAAAGAAACAAGAACAACACATTTAAGATCGAAACAAAAAACAAAAACAAAAAATCAAGGAAAAAGAAGAAGGATGGCTATTAACGGTGATGATAACGTTTCAGGAGAAGAAACAGCTTCTTCGAACCGACCGGTAAGAGTCTACGCCGATGGAATCTATGATTTATTCCATTTCGGTCACGCTCGCGCCATCGAACAAGCCAAGAAATCGTTAAGTACCATTTATTTCTTTTTCTTATGATTTGAATGATTCAGTTTCTAATCGAAACGGAAACAACTTTAGGTTTCCGAACACGTATCTGCTCGTAGGATGTTGTAACGACGAGATCACAAACAAATTCAAAGGAAAGACAGTGATGACAGAGTCCGAACGTTATGAATCTCTCCGTCATTGCAAGTAATGTGGAAACACACACACACTATTGGTTCTGTCTGTTACCTTGTTTGAGTTTTGGTTTTGTTTTGAGTTTATTATTATTTATATGGTAAAACAAGGTGGGTTGATGAAGTGATTCCAGATGCACCATGGGTTCTCACTACAGAGTTTCTCGATAAGCATCAGATCGACTACGTAGCTCATGATGCTCTTCCGTAAGTTTAAGGTTAATGCTTTGTGTTTCTGTGACTCTGTCTTAGTTTTTTTTAACTCTATGTTATGTTTTTTCCCCCTAGATATGCGGATGCTAGTGGAGCTGGAAACGATGTTTATGAGTTTGTAAGTTTATCTCTTCTGATTTATGATGTTTCCTTAGTGAGTTTGGGCTTGGTTCTTGCAGGTGAAGTCGATTGGAAAGTTTAAAGAAACTAAAAGAACAGAGGGGATATCAACTTCGGATATTATCATGAGAATTGTGAAAGATTACAATCAGTATGTGTTGCGTAATTTGGACCGTGGATATTCAAGAGAAGAACTTGGTGTCAGCTTCGTTAAGGTAATGGTATTATCCAACATGATGCACTAACATGTTATGATGGGCTTGTTTTACTACAAAACAGGAGAAGAGGCTTAGAGTGAACGTGAAACTCAAGAAACTACAAGAGAAAGTGAAAGAACAGCAAGAAAAGGTGGGAATTGAGGATTCTTTAGATTGCTTTGTGTAAGTAACTTTTGAATCTTGAATATTTTCTCCTTTTTTGTGTGCAGATACAAACGGTAGCAAAAACTGCTGAGATGCACCGCAATGAGTGGGTTGAGAACGCAGATCGTTGGGTTGTGGGGTTTCTTGAAATGTTTGAGGAAGGTTGTCATAAAATGGTAAGCAAAAGGATTGATTCTCTCAGCTTTTGAGATTTGGAGTGTTTCCATATATCACTGATGTATGAGTTTGATTTTTGTTTTTTCTCAGGGAACAGCGATTAGAGATGGGATACAGCAACGGCTACTGAGGCAAGATTCCCAAGAGAATGATGAGAACGAACAGGTTTCTGATGATGATGGGTTTGTAGAAGGAGATGAAAACTGTCATGATGATCAGGAAGGTTTCTTGAATAAGGAGAGAAACATAGAGGAAGAGATAGTGAAGAAATGAGAGTTTTATGCTCAGGTTTCAAGAAATTTCAGACGCAGAAGACCAAAGTGTAACAGATTCCACACTTATGGAATATGATTTATATTTATGTTTAAGTGAATACTTGAAAAATCTACTTCCAAATCTGTACTTTGTTTCTAAGACTCAAATGTCCTTTATGTAGAATTTATGATCAACCCACTCCAGTGATAACATGGAGACCGTAATTATGATATCAAGAACACACATGTCAGATATCATTAGACAGAAGAAGTTTGCAACCACAAACCCGAGATTCGAGAATCACACAAATGAACAAAACAAGACAAACAAGACAAACATCTAAACATCCATATTAATATCTCCCTGAATGAGTTACTGATCACACAAAAACATTCTTAAACACTTCGGCTCCCCTGAGACTGATCAGTCAACATCTTCGACATCATCACCATTCTTAACATCACAAACGTTCAATTACCTCGGGAAAACGGCACAAATACAATTGCCTAGCTATCAACTCAGCATCGCCGATCAAGGACATCACTTCTCGTAGATGAGCCAAAACTTTATGAATTAGATTAGGAAAACCAATGGTTTGATGTTCATCAGTATATTTATCTGAATCAACTATCAGACGTTGCTTCATAACACACTCAACGTCAGATCCTGGAATCCACATACATTATACAGAACCTAGTATGTGGGGCAAAGATCCTGCAAAACTTGAACTGTCTGTGATCGGAGAAAATTATTAGTTTACGTGTTTCATTACTTTATGAAATATTAGTTTATGACATTTTATTGTAATACTATCAAATTGTGAGATAAAGTTCAAATTCCCCCATAGTAAAAAAAAGAAATAAAAGGTCGCAGCTGATTTACTGGTATGAACAGACAAATACTGATCCAGATCTTACGCTGGTGAAAGCAACCAGAGGTTGCTTGTCTTTACCCGAAGTTGCTTCCTTCTACGCAAAGGCCCAGAAACCATCAAAACATCATGTCTATGGCCCAAAGACGGTGAAAACAATGGTTTCACAGATGGTAGTTTCTTCTTACTTGGCCTACTTCCGAAATTCATTCCATTCGTTCGTCGTAATTTCTTCTTATCTGTTTACAGTCAAAGCAACCTCAGAAACCGTGGGCAAAGGACAAAATATGGATGTTCAGAAGCAGCCTGGGAGTGTTAGGAAGCCCGATGTTTGATGCTGTACTCAACAACACGTCGCTAGATAGAGAACTGTTGCTGTGGCTAAAAAACAGACGGCATCTATTTCAAGCGACATGGGATAGTTAGGTAAAAAAGGAAACCTCTATTATTTAGAAGCTTTCTCTCTTTTTTTTAGGAAAGCGAGTGGGGAGGCAACACAGTTACTATAAATAGTCTCTTAAGCTTTCCCCTCATTCTTGTGTATAGCTTTTACCATATATATGATTTTTATAATTGAACAGTAACTTTGGGTTAGGATACAAGTGTTAGATTAGGCTCACTTAACTTTCATAGAGAAGGATCATTTGACTAGGTTGTATTGTATTTCTTCCTTTAGTAATAAAAGCTCTCTTGTTCTTGTTCTTTTATCTATCTATCTATTTTTATAAAGCTTGGCACAAAAATAAAAACAGATTATACATAAATACAAATTGTAAGTTACTTTTTTTTTGTCTTTTACTGGAAACTGAAATGATACAACAAAAAAGAAACATAACTAAGAAGATGAAAACTGCTTATTCCATCCTAGTCACTGTCTGAATCATCCGAACTGTCAGCTCTCCGTTCAGCAATCGCCGGAAACAAACGCTGTCGAATGTTATCCGGTTGATTACTCTCCGGAGTCATTTCGGTTTCCTTCTTACCCGAATGATTTACCGTCTTCGTCGACGACGTCATCATCGTCGTTTCTTTAACTTCTCTGCAAACTTTCTCCAACATTATCAAGAAATCACGCACTATAGCAAACAAACGTAACCCTTCGTTCTTAGCAGCTTTCCCATGGAAATAATCAGCACAACTTTTCACCAACACCATGATCCTCCCTTCTTCTTCCTTCAACCATTTGATATCAGCATCCGCACGTTCTATAAACCCAGCTAAAGCTTTCTCGAAGTCGCTCTCTTCATCCATCGTTTTCAGAAACTCCCTCGCGCTCGTCAACGAGCCGCTTAGGCTCGTCAGTGTCGAAGCTAATCCATCAGCGTCTATGATCGCTGCTCTCTTGACATCTTCGAGCTCTGTTGTTAGTCCCGTAACCACTTGAAGTCCCGTGCTTCTGTAACGTTCCACTGATTGTGGACTTGTGTCTGTGTTGGTATCGTCTGTATTAACGCTGGAGAAGCTTTTGCTTGATCTCTGGAGGCGGAGAGCACGTACTCCTTCGGAACGAATGATCTCAAGGACAACAAAGTGTAAGAGTGTGGTTTTGCCATCAGTTCCTTTGACGTCAGAGAGTTTCAAGAGTGTGTCGAGTTTGAAAGCTTGTGCGTCACCACGGAAAGTTCCGACATTCATTCTGTTTCCTGTCTTGAGAACTGCTTCTAGTAGTTTTAGGAACAGTCTGCTGTTTTTAAGTTTCTTGCAAGCCACCTGAAACATAAGACACAACACTAAGAGATTTAAAGGAGATGTAGAAGATTTGTTAAAGTTTTCAATTAATCTTTCTTTTTTATAAATTTGGAGATCTAAAAATATTTTTTTAGGTTTATATCTATGTAATATCTTTCAAAAAAAAAATTCAATTAATTTCTTTTTTATAAATTTGGAGATCTAAATTTTTTTTAGGTTTATATCTATGTAATATCTTTCAAAAATTTTAAGGGATTAATAAGGTCAATGTTTCATTCGGTTTTGCCCAGGACCTGCTAAGTGTATGAAGAAGGTATTTGTGGACTTACCTCGAGAGTTGCGAGTGATTCTTTGATACCAGAGACTTCTTCTTGAAGTGAGATCATGAATATAAGAGACTCTATACGTTTAAACGCAAAAGGTATATCAACAAGAATCTTCAAGAAACGCTCTGCAGGGCCAAGTAAGTGAAGATCTCCAGAGTATAGTCTAAGTTTGAGTTCTTCCTCTGAAGTTGGAGCCATCTTCAACAATGTTTGTAGAAGCTCCACTGGAAGCTCATTACCTTCTTTGATGGCATCAACGACTTCCTCTATTGTTACATTCAAAGCTCGAAGTAGAATAGATAAGTTTTGAGCTTTCCTTGGGTCAATAATCTGTATATACTGAACAGGAGATTCTCTAGATGAGTCTCCTCTTCCACCATTCTTGTTTTTGTTCCCATCATTGTAACCAAACAGCGACTCCATCGCCTCCTCGTTGAACCTAAAGAGAAGAATATGAGTTAGGCAAGCTCGGAAACAAGAGTTTAGAGGTTGCAAGATTCTCAAAATCAACTCTTAACTGGAATGAACCGGCGCTGATCTCATGCCAAACCATTTTCTGGTCAGGGTTAGCCATTTTATCCCAGAAAAACGGTTTTAGTTTTGTTTTTGGAGCTCCAGTCTCTGAATCAACATCAGAACCATCTCCAGAGGAGCTACGTCCTTGACGTTTTGGTGGTGCAGGTGGAGGACGAACAAGCTTTGGAGGAGCAGGAGGAGGAGGCTTAGATTTAGGAGGAGGTGGTGGTGGAGCCTGTGGAGGTGGTGGAACTGGAGGAGGAAGAGGAGCTGCTGATCTTCCAGGAGGAAGAGGAATTCCAGAGGATGACGCCGCAGCTGCAGCGGGTATGAACTCATGATTGTTTCTCTTTAGAGATACTCTAGAAAGAAACGATCTCTTTTTAGAAGTAGAAGTGAAAAATCTCCTGCTCTTGTTTGCAATCTTTGGAGAGTTCTCATTTGATCCTAGAAAGAGCAAAACAAGAATTGGTTATATTTCTTTTTTCAACAAAAGGATATACTAATCGGTGGAACAGAATCAACATAAACCATAGCAGAAGACAGACTCCGGGTTAGTTATATTTTCTTGAAAGATAAAAATCTTGAAACTATTTTGATTTTTAAAAGAATCATTACCAGCTGATAAATCAGATAAATGTAGAAGTGGTCCTTCATCTCTTGGTCCATTTCTAGGACCAACCGCATTTTTGCGGTTGTTGCGTCTGAAGCAACATAAAAACAACAATGCAACTAGAAAAAACGTTAATACTGCTGTTGAAGCAACAGCGATAATAAGATCCATCAAGATATTATTCTTTTTCTCCGGTGGTGGAGGAGGATGATGACCTGAAACACTTTGACTAGGAGCAACAATACCCTTTGCTCTCTTCTTACTCGAACCAGGCCTTGATTCATCTGGTGCTTCAGCTGGCGAATATGAAGATGGTTGAGACGAAGAGCTTGAAGGTGCAAGGTCATAGCTTTGAGGGGTTGGAGCAGGACCTGGCGCGAAACGGGGTGAAGGACCTGGTGCAAAACCTTGTGCAGGACCAAGTGCAAAGTTTGGAGCAGATACTCTAAACTTCTTTCTCTTTGTCTTTCCCTTTGTCTTTGTCTTTGTCTTTTTCTTTGTCTTTGTCTTTGTCTTTTTCTTTGTATTTGTCTTTGTCTTTTCCTTTTTATTTTTGTTTGTCTTTGGCTTATCGATCAGCTTCCTTGCTGGATAGCTAGTAGTAGAATCAAGGAGAGGTTCAATCCAGTTGCTGAACCAATGCCGATAACCGGTTAGGTACGCATCATTAGCTGCTGGTACACGAGGAGGGATATAGAGAGGGCAATCTTTGTTCTTATCTTTCAAATCTTTTCTACAATGTATCCATGTTTGTTCTGCCTATCAGAAAAACAACACGTTCGTCAATAACAGACTTGTTGTCGGAATATGCACAAAATGAAAACATAAATGTAGATTATGCTTCATACGTTCTTGATTTGTTTTAAACATGACAAAACGAAACAAAGGACGATGAACTTACCACATCGTCGTCACCGTTAGCCTCGCCGCGGTTGGAGCCGCGTCGAGAGATGATCTCCTCGGAAACACAAACAAGAAAAACGAGAGAGATGGCAAGAAAAGCTGTTCTCAATCTCCCCATTAACCTCCGTTTCTCATCTCACGGAAGCACCGAATATCGCAACAACGTCTAAATTTGCAGAGGTCGATCTCTTTGACGTACTCTCACGGAAGCAAACCGCCATGCAATAAAACCTCCGACCAACGTATGAACGCTTTTTTTACAGCGCCTAACAATCGCAACCACAAACCAAATTTCGAAAAACTAAAAGAGCTCTGTTTCGGGATTTTTTTAAAAAAAATATTAATTTTTTGAGGGGAAGTTGTTTTTTTTGTACGTTGCGACTTGTGAGACGTACTAACAGAAACGAAGATTATGGTCTGTTTTTTTTTTTTTTTGTTAATTTGGTTAACTCTCTTAAACTGTTCTAATGAAATAACACGCTTTTAATAACATCTTTTGGATTATGTTGCCGTATATTATGACAAAATTGTAAGATTTTGGTCAAAATGATATGTTAAACATTAACTTGTCGAATTAAAAAGGTCTTATTCTTTTTGAACTGAAAAATATATTATTCTTACTAAATACTAATTACAAATTAGTTAAATGAAACTGCTCTATTATACACTAGATGGTGGTTTATACCACGAAAGATATTAAGAGAAAACATCCCACGGTAGTTGAAGATGAGCAACGAGCAGAAACTGGTTGTAGAAACTCAAAAAAACATTTTGTAAACTGACATATGGTAACAGATCATTGGATATACGATTATCATACAAAGGTGCACCAAATTTTTTTGAGCTCTTACACCATCTTCTGAATATGTGCCCTACTCAGCTCTATAACAATCTGTCTCTAGTAGGGCACCTATTCAGAAGATGGTGTAAGAGCTCAAAAACATTTGGGAACATCACTTCAACTCTTCCATACTGTCCAGAACATCAGTGAACATCCTCAGGCTTTTGCAACCTCGCATGCTCAATTTAGCAAGATCTGGCCAAGACCTTATAGATGATGGAACTTCTTCTACACCAGTATTTTCCAGATCAAGATACCCAATTCTTGTAGAAATCTCTGGAAACGTTTTCAGTTGTGTGCAGTGACTGAGGTCAAGGTGATATAGAGATTCCATATTGATGTTGGTTGGAAGAACCTTGAGCTTCTTGCATCCCACCATCTTTAGGTGTGTGAGACTTGAGAGATTCTTGATCCAAGTAGGAATCTCCACCAGGCTTTCACAAGCATTGAGTATTAATGTCTCAAGCTTCGTGGCATTTGACACATTAGGGACGTCTTCCAAGTTTGAGGAGTAAGACATATCCATCAACTTGAGATGTCGAAGCGGCTGTACATATATGGATAATACAAAGTAGACAAATTAAAAACATGCATACTATAAGTTCAAGTAAAACACACAAAATACTTTTAAAACTACTTACAGGAGCTCCTTCCCAAAGCTTCTCAATAGAGCTATTCCGCATCTCAAGGATGACTAGAAACTCAGCACCAAACTCAGGAGGCAAACATCGCAAAGGAAACTCATCCCAACGTAGAACTCTAAGCTTACGAGGTAGATTGTTCAGACCCTGAGGCAAGAGCAACTTGTTGTTCTTACCAGAAGTATATGGACTTTTGAATCTTAAGAACTGAAAACGAGTCATCCCTTCAAAGGCTCTTTTGTCAATGCACAATTCATCCTTTATTGCAGTTATGTCAAGATCTATACCTAAAATAAATCTAGAGCCCTGAAACAGTGTTACATAAAGTAATTAATGACATATTATATACGATTAGCGTCAAATCATAGGGGAAAAAATCACTGTTAAACTTACTGTATTATCGCTAAGCACATCACAAATCTCTTGAGCGTCCACCAAGAATTTACGTTTCTCTGGCTCATCTTTATGTTCTTGGCGGATAATTTCTTTTCCGAGTTGTTCTACCAAATTATGCATTACCAAATGTTCTTCTTCAGTTATAGAGATGAGAGATTTCTCAGCTAAGACCTTAAGTCCATGCTTGGCATCCAAGACACTATGTGCAAGACACTTTTCCAGGTAGCTAATGCTCACACCTTCGAACAAACATGCTATATGAATAAATAAATCTTTATCTTTCTCGCATAAGGCCTCGTAGCTGAACCTTAAAACTTTTTCAATGTCTCCATCAAGACTTGTCCTAAGTCTAGGAAGTGCCTCTAGCCACTCTTCTTTGGACCTTCCTCGCAGATAAGAACCAAAAACACTTAGACCTAGGGGTAGATCACCAGCAAGTCCCGTAACTTCCAAGGCAAGCTCCTCGAAACCATCATAAGGCGACTTTTGACCAAAAGCATATCGACAAAAGATTTCATAAGCTTGGAGTAACAGTGGAAACTCCACGTGGTAGATATGGTCGTCGATCCCATGTGCATCCAGAAGATGTTTATCCTTTGTCGTCACGATAATCCTACTTCCGCAACCAAACCAATGAGTTTTCCCAGCCATGGCTTTTAGTTTCTTTAAATCATCTACATCATCGAGAACTACAAGCACTTTCTTATCCTTCATCCTTTCTTCCGCCACACCCAAGTGATGTATCTTCAAATCCTTGTGGTTGAAAATTTTAGACAAAAGCTGTTGTTGTAAATGCAACATGAACGCATAATCGTCACTGCTGCGCAGTTTCTCACCACTTCCTCTAATACTCTCCATAAAAGCAGTGTGTGTGAAACTATTAGAGAGTTTCTTAAATAAGGCTCGGGCTATGGTCGTTTTCCCAATTCCTGCAGGACCCCAGATTCCAACCATCCTCACGTCGTTGGAATCTATTGACAACAATGAACTTATCTGCATGATATGATTCTCCATCCCAACTAATCCATCAAAATCCCTTGATGGTGCAGCCATATTTAGCTTGTTTAAAATATCGTTAGCAACACTTTCGATCATTTCCGCTTCATCTTTCCTAACAAGGAAAATATCAAAAATTGTTAAGATATACTCCCTCCGTTTCAAAAGGTTAAATATTTTAGTTTTTTCACACATATTAGAAAAAACATAAAGTTTTGATTACCAATGCATCATTTATTATAGATAACAAATCACTATATCTTTTAACCGATAGATCTTTTAAAAAATACAATTAATTTTTTTTGGAATATACAATTTTTCATTAAATTATACATTGAAAATGTAAAAACTACATTTTTTTGAAACAAATATTATTTCTAGAATGTTCATCTTTTTTGAAACGGAGGGAGTATATAGAACCTACGTATTACCTCTATAGACATTCCTTAAAATAAGATACTATATATACAAGTAATTTTGATGAGAGTTCCTTCCAGGTATTCTAGATAACATCGTCACAAAGAATCATATACTTTCCCTGAGTAGTTTCATAGATATTAAGCCACACATATACGTTGACATGTAATAAAAGTTAAGAATCAAAGTGTGACTAACCAGGTGGTTGAATCAAAACCGGCTATTGTGGACACTTCTTTTAGAGCTTGTTTCCATTTCTTAACGTCCTCAACTGATTTCCCCACACAAGTTTTCTCAAAGGTAGATCCAAAACATCCCACCTGCTTCTTCACATCGGTTGGTTCAACTTCATAGAAAACTGTCATTACAATTTGACCCAACTCTTCCCTACACTTCATAATCAATACTAACTCGTCCAGACACCACGTTGAAGAAGCATAATTTTTCGATATTATAACAACAGAAACCCTACATCCTTTTATAGCTTCTTTGAGTTCCGGACCAATTGGCAAACTCCTCTCGATATCATTATCAATGAATGGGGTAAAACCTTTGCTTCTAAACTCTTTCAACATGTGAGGGAGGAAGGCTTTGCGGACATCTACCCCACAAAAACTTGGGAATACTTGGTGTGAACAGCTACAAGGCAACAGAGAAAGACTCTTGCCTTTATAGATTCTTCCCTCAATTTCCGGAGCATCCACCACTACGAAGTTACATCTCCCAAACTCATCTCTGTATTCATTGTAGGCAATTTCTTTACCTAGTTGTTCAAGCAAGCTATGCATCACCACGCGTGCATCTTTGTCTATAGATACGAGAGATTTTTCTGTCAAAACCTGAAGCCCGTGGGTGACGTCTAAGTTGCTAAGATGTTTCACCAGGTTTGTAGTTTTCTTACCATTGAAAAAACATGCAATATGAAGAAATAAATATTTGTCTTTATCCCATAATGTCTCGTAGTCATACCTTAATATTTCCTTAATTTCTGGCACGAGAGTGTTCTTAAATCTAGGAAGTGCCTCTATCCACTCTTCTTTGGACATTCCTCGCAGATATGAACCATAAACACTTAAACCCAAAGGAAGATAACCAGCAAGTTTTGCTACTTCCATGGTGAGCTCCTCGAAACCCACGTATGGGGACTTTTGACCAAAAGCATGTAGACATAGGATTTCAAGAGCGTCAGATGAAGATGGAAACTCCATTTGGTATATATGTCTGATCCCATGTGCTTTCAAAAGTTTCTTATCAGTTGTTGTGATGATAATCCTGCTTCCAGATCCAAACCAATGAGTTTTGCTAGCCATGGCTTTTAGCTGCCTTATATCATCTACATCATTGAGAACTACTAGTGTTTTCTTGTCTTTCAGCCTTTCTTCCGCAACACCCAAGTGATGTATCTTCAAATCCTTATGGTTGAAGGTTTGACACAAAAGTTGTTCTTGTAAATACAACATGTAGGCATGGTCGTCTATGTGATGATGACTTGCTTTTATACGCTCCATAAAAGCAGTGTGTGTGAAATCACTAGAGAGTTTCCTAAATAAAGCTCCGGCGATGGTAGTTTTTCCAATCCCTGCAGGACCCCAGAGTCCAATCATCCTCACTTCATTGGAATCTAATGACAACAAAGAACTTATCTGCATGATATGATTCTCCATCCCAACCAATCCATCAAAATCCCTTGAAGGCATATCATAAGTTAACATGTTTGAAACATCGTTACCAATTCTTTCGATCATTTCCACTTCATTATCCCTATATAAACCAATATATCAGAAAAAAAAAAAAAATGTCACTACACATATGCAATGGCGTGACAAA